ACCTTTGCAAAATATATGTGAAAAAGGGAAGGAGTTCCTTTTTTGTTTGTTTGTTTCAAGTTTTTATGTAAATTCCAGTTAGTTAACATATAGTGTAACTTTGGTTTCAGGAGTAGAAGTTAATGATTCATCACTTATATGTAGCAGTTAGTACTCATCACAAGTGCCCTCCTTAAAACCCATCACCTATTTAACCCATCCCCCCCACTTCCCCTCAAGCAACCGTCAGTTTGTTCTCTGTAGTTAGGAGTCTGTTTTATGGTTTGCCCCTTTTTTTTTTTTTTTTTTTACCCCTTATATCCATCTGTTTTCTTTCTTAAATTCTGCATATGGGTGAAGTCATACGGTGTTTGGCTTTCTCTGACTTATTTCACTCAATGTAATACCCTTAGTTGCATCCACATCGTTGCAAATGGCAAGATTTCATTCTTTTGATGGCTGAGTAATATTCCATTGTGTATATATACCACTTCTTTATCCACTCATCAGTTGATGGACATTTGGAAGGAAAGGGTTTTCTATTTTCCAAGGGTCTTAAAAGCGTACCATCTTCCCCTCCTATCTGTAATCGTTTACTATAGGAAATTTCCAAATTTTTCACTGTAGCCAGTAAACAAATTTATAAAGAGATGTTGAATAAGGTCATATTGATTAAGTACAGGATTAAATATTTTTTTCTAGGTTTCAATTACTCTCTCATCAGCATTGGTTTATTTTAATGCAATTTGACAATACAGCAAGATTATTTGAGGTGGGCCTGAAGCTTAGAACTCAAACATTTGTTCTGTCACATAGGATTCTTTTCCACTTCTGTTAGAGCACTTCATTTGTTTTTTTTTTTTAAAGATTTTATTTATTTATTTGAGAGAGAGAGAGAATGAGAGAGAGCACGAGAGGGAAGAGGGTCAGAGGGAGAAGCAGACTCCCTGCTGAGCAGGGAGCCCGATGTGGGACTCGATCCTGGGACTCCAGGATCATGACCTGAGCCGAAGGCAGTCGCTTAACCAACTGAGCCACCCAGGCGCCCTAGAGCACTTCATTTGTAACATAAACCTGCTGTTGGTTTATCTTCCCGGACTCTGAGCTCTTTCAAGGCAGAGCTGGTGTCTTCTTCATTGTGTATACTCAGCCCCCAGCTCATTGCTTTTAAAATAGCAGTTGTCGAATGGGTGGGTGGAGTATGATTATAATGTACTTTTTCTCTGTTCTTTGTTACCCTGATTTGTGCTTTAAGTTTATAAATGACTAATAATACTCTGGATGTGAAGAGATTCGCATGGGTCACTTGAGAGGGAGATACTGTTGTAGCCGCACTTTACTCTGACGGACAGCACTAAACCCACAGAGATATTTTGGTATGTGTGAGCACTGATGGTTGTGCTTTAAAAGTGTCTGCCCCTCGATGTTAACCGGACTGGCCATGTGGTAGATCCTGCAGCAGAAGAGTCACTGCCATAGAAGTCAGGTGGCCTAGGTCCCAGTCCGGGCACTTAATGTAATACCCTTAGTTGCATCCACATCGTTGCAAATGGCAAGATTTCATTCTTTTGATGGCTGAGTAATATTCCATTGTGTATATATACCACT